GAACTGGGAAGTTTCAAAAGATTTGACTTAAGAAATAGAAGATGAGAAAATATACAATATGCAAGAATTCTTGTTGAAACGGAAGATGTTAGCTTGATCCCAACATCTCTGGATCTGTTTTTTCTTGAGGAAGTTTTCAAACCTCGGATTGTGGTTGCTAGCGAGATCCACTGTTTCAGTGGAAGGATCAGAAGGCGACCAAGGAAGCCATCAAAGAAGGGAATCTAAAGAGCCTATTGGTGTTTTAAGAGGCTTTGGGAGAGATGCAGAAACAGGGATTCATAGAAGATGAAAGGGCAGGGGTTCTGTGAGGTAAATTTGAAAAGTTACAAACCCCTGGCCCAAAAAGAAAATAAATTTTCAAACCCCGGCTCAAGTGGGGTCGGCCTAAATGTTAAGAAACAAACTGGACCAAGCAAGCTGGTCCAGTAGGTGTTTCAACCCAACAGAAGTCCAGCCTTTCCTCATTTCTAAATAAAGGTAATCTAGCTTAGGACAAAAGAGTACAACGTTTAGAAGGTGTCAATGGAGAGACAATACAACTTCTAGGGAAGATGATCAATGTTTATGGCAGGGGTGCTTTTAAATGCTTCATGACAAAATACGTGTATGCAAGGGGGGATTCTTCAAAGAAATCGCAAGGTACAACTCAAGAAAATTACTATGCTCAATCAACTTTGGAGCAAATTAATGAAGGGTCTAGGGCCTGCAGAGTTTTGAGTGTTGCAACAATGTCGTCTTGCCCAAACAGGTATGAGAAAGATTCAAATCTGCATTTAGGTGTAGAGAAAGAGTTGCTTGATGATATCTACTTCAGCCACAGTGCCTTGGAATACTTTCAAACGACGATGAAGGTAGACTATGTCGACCCTTTGTTAGACAATGTATGTCCTTAGCTCCAATCAGATTGATGTACGTACAGATACATTTATTGTAAATGAATAAAAAGTACATTATTGTTTCATGTTGATATTGGTACGTTTCTGTGTAATTACCCCTTAAACTGGACACATATGAGACTCGTGTTAGTTTAAAATGTTCTCAGCCGTTGGATAGACTTGGGGAGTTATCCTGCCAAGGCTGATGCTGATGTGCTGCCAAAGAAGTTAGGGCAGCTTGTCTTAGCTGCTAGGGTTAGACCCGAAGCACATGCAATGTGTGTTTGGATGAAACACTGAACCCGGACCATTTTTCAATTATGCCCTGGACCTTGGAGATTGATGGACAAAACTGGAAAATTGCACATAACCCCTAGACTTGATTATGGTACTACACTAGGTGTTGGATTGGGTTGTCTTTGATATGCCAATCAATGAGATCCATCAATGAGCAAAACCTGGGTATGTTGGGGTAGTGGATTTCAACTGTGTTTGAGATTTGATTTTGCAAAATATATTTATATGATATATATGTATTATGAAAAATGTTTGCAAGAGGTTTTAATTCCCGGGATCCATCTGAGTAGAGAGTGTGGCACTGCACCTTGCAGCTAGGGGAGAGGTTCTTCCCTGTCGAGCAATGTTTGATCATTATGGGCTGAGAGGTTAAGTGTAAGAGACCATTACAAGGCCGATTACCTGATAGTCTTTATCTTACTTAAGTCCATTATATCTTGATCTTCATAGAATGGTTGAATTCAAGGATCTTTAAGTATAAATGTTGGGCCCATATTGAGCCCATTGTGATGTGCTCAGGGGTTCACCAAGCCTTTTCACAGAGGTTGGGCCGAACCCATGTGTGTGAGGTCATTATGGGGTCCCACGCAATATAAATCAAGCCTAAGTTGGCTTACAACACCCTTGGGTCGTGAGCCTTATAGCTGATGGGCTTAAGGTCCATAATTAATATGATTAATTAAGCTGGCACTGTGCCATGGGGCGAATCTAGGTTTGGATTTGGGTATAGAGCACCTAATCTTATAAAAAGATAAGGTATATCTGTATATCTCTAATTAAAGTCCAGATCTGGATTATCTCCTAATTAGATTAGGAGATAGCTCCATAAGAGATTATAAAAGAGGAGGGGGCGGACTAGTCCAAGACAGCTTCATATTTTTTTGTAGTTTCTAGTTCTCTCTGCACTCTTTTGTCTCCCAATTTTTTCCTAGTTTGACATCAGCCATATGGGACTGATATAGATCAGTTTTTCCTCTGATTTTTGCAAGAAAAATTCAGGGAATATCAGGCTCATCATCCTCAATTCGATTCAAGCAGTTGGATCTTAGTTTTGCAAAAAACTGTGTTACTGAACCGGCTTCAGAAATACACTGCGCCATCTTCAGTGAAGGCTGGTTTTAGGACTGATTTGGGAGTGAACTTCCACCTTGGGATCTACGTTTGTGGTATCCATATTAGGTATACATCTCCCTCCTTGTTTGGTTTCAAATCTAGTCCGGTTCAGTGCAAGACCAGTCCTGAAAAATGTAGTTTTTCAAAACATAGGGAATTCGATTCCCAGAAGGATTAGGAAATTTTTGAAATTTCGCCCAGCCATCTAATATGGTTCTGCCATCCATACAATAGGTCCTAACCCTTCCAACACCCTTTTCTGTTGTCTGAGTTCAGTGAGGGGAAAGAGACTAAAAGTACTCGTCTAAAGGAGGTGGGGGATGCACCTGTTTTGACTGTGGACAAGGACCAACTCTCAGCCTTGACTCCTGAGTTGGAGATGGGAAGATTAGCAGGTATATATAGGGCGATAATAATAAAAAGGCAAAAAGACATTACTGCCTGCGTGGCACATACTGTACAAAATACTAATTATTCTAACAGATCTATTATTGAGTACACCTTTGCTATCTAATCAGAAGGGGCAGAACCTAGAGGAAGGGAGGATAACTAAAGATAAAAGCCAGGTCTTAGAAATTAGGTAGAGATCTTGGTAGGAAGACGCAGGGACCAGCGGAGACAAGAATGTCTTATGGGTGTGCTGTATGGAGAGGAATTCAAAAGGCGTAGGAGGAATTCAGAAAAGGAATCAGATACATGGTGGAAGACAGCACAAGAATCAAATTCTGGACAGATATTTGGTGTGGGGATCAGCCTCTTTATCAGAGCTTTCCCAACCTTTATGAGATTGCTCAAAACAAAGATTGCATGGTTGCAGAGGCTTTTGCTCCGGTAGGAAATACTGCAGTTTGGTGTCCAGTGTTCAGAAGGAATTTAAATGATTGGGAGGTATGGCAGTGGATGGAGTTGATGCAGCAGCTACCTGGTATAAGCTCTGAATCCACAGGCAGAGATAGGAGAACTTGGAAGTGGGATAAAGAACTTTTCACAGTGAGATCCTTCTATAATAAACTCACGGAGGTGGAGGTGGTGGATTTCCCAAAAACTGTTGTATGGAAATCCGCAGCCCCTCCAAAAGCTGCTTTTTATCATGGTTGGCAGTGTCAGGTAAAATGTTTGACAGCGGAGGTTTTGGCCAGAAGAGGGATGAGTGTGTTGCCTAGCAAGTGCATTATGTGTTGGGAAGCATCTGAGGACTTAGAACATTTACTAATTCATTGCAGAGTTGCTTGCCTCCTCTGGACAAAGTTTTTGGGGCTGTTTGAAGCTCAGTTTTTTTTTTCCCAGAAAATGTGTTAGCAGTACTTCAGAGTTGGCATCTGAAGGGGTTCTCAAAAGAAGGCAAGGTAATTTGGAGATCAGGTCCAGCTTTAGTCATCTAGAAAATATGGAAAGAAAGAAACAAAAGAATGTTTGAAAATGTGTATGTTTCAGAGGATAATTTATGTAAAGGTTTTTGGGGTAGGATGTATTCATGGGTAGGGTCTCATAATCTGTTCAGCAATAGACCTTATAGCTCCTTTTGTAATGCTGGAGCTCTTTTTGTATCTATGCATACTGAGTATCTTTTAGTTGATGTACAGATTTTGATTGGGCACTGCACAGCTCCTTGTGCAGATTTGGCTCTTGCTTTTTGTCTAATATATTACTTTACCTTTTCCTCAAAAAAGGAAGACGCAGGGACCAAGGAAACTTGGGTTATTGAAACAGCATTCCTCCTCTTCAAAATCATCAATAAACCCAAAAAAGACAACGAACAACAACACTTCACAGTACCAAGGTATTTTCCAGGCTGAAAGATGGACTCATAGGAGTAAGCCCAAGTAGCAAATTTAAGAGACTGTATAGAAGGAAATAATTGAAAGGAAAAAAAAAAAAAACTTGTTTGATCTGTGAGTATTGCTGAGAATATTTCAAACTGTTTTCCAGTGGTAACAAGGGTGGTAAACCATCAAAGGTCACCGAAGAGGAGTTGGCAAAAGAAGGGGTGTTGTCGAGAGAAGAGGATGATTCAGAAGAAGTTGGTGAAAGTGAAGAGGAAGAGGAAGGAGTGGAATTAGATAGAGTTCAAGAAATCAAGCAAAAGGTGGATGTGGAAAAGGTAGCCTGGTCTTCAAGTGGGTAAAAAATTGGGCTTATTGGTTTTAGGAGGGGAAGAATACACCAGAAGAGCATTCCGGAAGCTAGAGCTACAATACTCGATGAGTGTTGAAAGGCCCTGATATGTCTGGGGTGGGAATTTTCTCGGTTTTTGCTCCTGAGGAAGGTGTTGCTGGTGCGTATCTGTATAGGAGTTTGTGCTTCATCTGCACTTCGGTTTTTCTAGTTCAAAGCTTTTTTGGGGATGTCTTTGTGCTGCTTCAGAACTATTGTAGTGATTGAAAGGTTCCTGGAGTCATTTTTGCTCATTTGGTCTACATTGAAAGGATCCCAAGCATTTTAATTTTGTACTTCTCTCTCCTCTTGTTTGTATTTCTCTTTTTAAGTTGTTTAGAGTCTAAGTTGTGGTGATTCCTCATCACCCTGATTGATGTACTCTTCTTTTTATCAATAAAATTTTCTTTTTTATTTATTACCAAAAAACAAATGTTGTCAAACACCCTTTATTGTTATAAGAAGCATTATGTCAAGGTCCAAGTGTTAGCATAGACCCTTTATTGTCAAGGTGTCCAGGTAAAATTAATCCCAGAAATGGTAAGTTGAAAATATAGATCAGCAAAGATACAACAATGAAAATGAAGGAGACAAATTGACCATAAGACCACAAATACATTTAGGATGAGCAGCAGCAAAAGAAAACCTGATGTTGTTGTCACGGTTCAACAAGAATCTTCCCAAAATATTAATGGCAAGTACACGTAAGCCACTATTGACTTCAATGCTCATGATAGTTTCAACACATGCATAAAGAATAGCATTCCCTGCATTTTTGTTTGGCTCGGTCTTTGTCGCAACCTATGAGAAAATCCAATACAACAATGAAAACTAGAAAGGAAAATCTTAAGAACCAAATGTATAACTGACTAATTGTACATATATGTATAAAAATTGTAGGGTAGCTCTTGATGTATGTTCATCCCAAGTTTCTTGCGCATGGAAGGAAAATCTTGAGTCCAAAGAACTTCCAAGAAGTTTTTTTTTTTAGTAAAAATAAATTTTCATTAGAAAAGAAAAAATTTATACAACCCAGTCAAGTGTTAAGGCAACACCTGCAAACAAACTAAAACATCACAATCAGCCCAATTACATGTCAAAATAAATTATCCAGACTACAAATTTGGAATCCCAAAACTTCCCCAAGGTTCTCTTTGTTAACTTGCCTAAATTCTGGTGATACCAAGAGCCATTCTGCAACATATTTGCTAACAGCCGCCACTAAACATGTAATGGACTTCCAAGAGTTAAGCAATGCACTTAACTATGTAATGGAGAAAAGGCCCGAAATAACAGGTGGAATGCCCTCAGAATTTCTGCTTGACAGATCCAGCTGATGCTTGCAGTTTGATTTAATGCCTACCTAAATGGCAAGGTTAGCTATATCATTTAGCATCACTCATAGCAACCTCCTCAAGTCTTCTTGATCATTTTGACATACATCAAAATATCCATCTTTAAGGTGAATATGATACTAACTACTAGCATTCAGAAGGCTCTTGGCTAGCCAATGTATAAAGATTTGTTGCTGCAATGTAGTCTGGTTCCTGAATGCATTTCAATGTATGGACTGCTTTGAAATTTGTCTCTGCCAATATAAAAACGGGATTATCTAGAAGCCACTTGTAAGCCTCAAGCCAATTGCCTATGCTTTTTCGGTGCAGTATGGTCTTCCTGGTTGCATCCCAAGACATAGTTCAATCACTTGTTTTTTTTTCCACCCACTTTAAACTCCCATTATTTGGGGTAAGAAAGAATGGTTAGCCACTGGAACAATGAATATATCATATAGTGGAAGCAGATGCAATAGGAAACATCGGAAAAGCTTCAACTTCAACGCTTTTTTTATTACATATGGCAAGAAAGGAATTTAAAGTAGTTCCAGAACAAATGCAGTCCATCTCAACAAGTGGTAAAGTAGATCATGTGATAGCTTAGATTTAGAACACTAGGGTTATTGATAGACTGAAATCTTATGAATTCTTTTACGGATGGAACAGGCATGTTGTTTCTTATTGCAATAAACCTATTCCTAGAAATTAATTTTGAAAACATTTTTAATAATAAATATTTATATATAATATTTAACTTAACTTGCTTCAAAACTCTTTAAAAGATAAATACCAAAGGCCACCCGGGTGAAACTAAGAGTCCCGGGTTAACTAAGACACTTCAAGACAAGCCCTAGGAAACTCTCCTAAAGTTCCAATGCCACAAGGACTCTTCTCATATTCATTCCAGAGTCATCTAGAGGCAGAATATACAAGAGTCCTAGGGCAACTAGGATTCCTCACTATGAGTCCTAGTTCAACCAGAATTCTTTTAATACTCATCCCAATGTTACTCTAGAACTTATATAAAAGCTTAATCTCAATAGGATTCTTCCACTAGAGTTCTAGTCTAACTAGGATTCTTGGCAAGTGTCCTAAATCAACTCAACTTCTTGACAGAAACACTATGCTCTTTGTCTAAGAGTGTAGATCTCTTATTAGACATCCCCAAAGCCATAGAACCACTTTCAACTACCCAGCATATGGAGCACGTAATCCACATCTCTTATTGTACCCCTAGCCAAGATAATAGCATCTAATCATCTCACCTGCATCATGCCACTTCCCATACTTTGCTTTATTAGCTTCCGAGGAATCAGGCCTCAGGAAAGCGGGTTTCATCATCCTTAAAAACATAGAAAATTTTCTCTGCCACAAGGAAAATATCTAGGTTCCGTTTCCAATCTACATACATAAGCCCTACCAACTTATTGTCATAAATAATTTTTGCAAGCGAGTTGAAGTTTGTCTTCTCGTCTACAAGAAATTAAAGAAACCATATTGGTGATCAAACAGTCTCCTCGGGCTACTTTTGATTGGCCCCTACACCAGTTTGATGTTAAAAATGCCTTCTTGAATGGAGACCTACATGAAGAGGTCCATATGTCTTTGCCTCCAGGGGTGTATGGGAAGGAAATGCAAGGCAAGGTGTGTAAACTGCAGAAATCTATTTATGGTCTCAAACAGTCTCCTCGGGCTTGGTTTGAGAGGTTCAGGGCTGCTCTTGTCTCCTTTGTTACACACAAACTCAATCTGATCATACCTT